TTATTATTGTTATTATCATCGTTATCATTATTATTATTACTATCATTTCTATTTTTTCATTATTGTTATCATCATTATCATCATTATTTTTACTTATCATTGTTAATTTACTTACGTATTGTTGACTTTGTTATTATTACAATTATTATTACTAACATTATAATATTGACTTTAGCCTTTTATCATTGTCAGAACAAAAATAATCATGCAGTAAGAATAACAACAGCAATAATAACAAATATGATGATAACAATAGTAATAAAAATAGTAATAGTAATGGTAACATATATTATAAAAGTGATGATAACAGTAACAACACTAATAATAATAGTAATAATTAATACTACTAATGATACTACTACTAATAATGATAACATTAATAATCATTATAATAATATCAATAATAATACCATCATTTCTCTCTTCTCTTAATAAGAAGTGCATCATGTGAATAGTTGCTGAATTGATAAACCAGTGAGCTGATGAACTTGTATCAGATTTAGGATTAAGATATCTTGTAATCAGCTCACAAATAAAATATAATTGTAAAAATAAAAGCTAAATTTATAACGCTCCCCAGCATTGCTTTCAACATTGAACAACCCTGACTCAGACTATTAGAGTCAAGTGAACTTACTACCGTTATTACTATAGTGACTGTTATTATATTTTTTTGTAATTATATTATTGTTATTATCATCGTTATCATTATTATTATTACTATCATTTCTATTTTTTCATTATTGTTATCATCATTATCATCATTATTTTTACTTATCATTGTTAATTTACTTACGTATTGTTGACTTTGTTATTATTACAATTATTATTACTAACATTATAATATTGACTTTAGCCTTTTATCATTGTCAGAACAAAAATAATCATGCAGTAAGAATAACAACAGCAATAATAACAAATATGATGATAACAATAGTAATAAAAATAGTAATAGTAATGGTAACATATATTATAAAAGTGATGATAACAGTAACAACACTAATAATAATAGTAATAATTAATACTACTAATGATACTACTACTAATAATGATAACATTAATAATCATTATAATAATATCAATAATAATACCATCATTTCTCTCTTCTCTTAATAAGAAGTGCATCATGTGAATAGTTGCTGAATTGATAAACCAGTGAGCTGATGAACTTGTATCAGATTTAGGATTAAGATATCTTGTAATCAGCTCACAAATAAAATATAATTGTAAAAATAAAAGCTAAATTTATAACGCTCCCCAGCATTGCTTTCAACATTGAACAACCCTGACTCAGACTATTAGAGTCAAGTGAACTTACTACCGTTATTACTATAGTGACTGTTTATAATTTTTTGTAATGATATTATTGTTATTATCATTGTTATGATTATTATTATTACTATCATTTCTATTATTACGAGTGACAGGAGTGACAGGAATGACTTGCCATGAGTGCACAAAGATTTTGGGGAGTGATTAGACTCAATGGGCATCTAGGAAGGGGCTCTGGCATTACTTCCATCAGTGAATATGATTATTGTACTTGCTATAACTATTATAAGATTATAGCTCTGTAGGCCTAAATGTTCATAATATGTTTGTGTCATGTTTGTAAGGATTAGCTCAGTAACCTTTGGACTCTCTTCCAATAAACTTGACAGATAAGACAAATGAGGATGTAAGTTTGAGCAGCCTTCAGGAGCGAGGATGGAGCAGTGGTTGCTGAGTGATGTCCTTGAGTGCTCCGTTTGCCTGGAACAGTTGGATTCCTCTTCCAGGGTCCTTCCTTGCCAGCACACCTTCTGCAGAAGATGCCTCCTCGACATTGTTCAGAATCTAAAGGTCAGTATTTTCTGGGCACGGATTTGATATGTATATGCTTATCTGTATAGGTTACATGTGTGTGTATTTTTATTTCCTGTTTATTTTATTTACATTCATGCGCATACATCCTACACGTGGAGTTGTGCATACATCTGTATACATCCAGAAAAATATGATTTACTTTGTATAGTGTTTTTCTTTCTTTCTTTTTCTTCTTTTTTTTTTCTTTTTCTTTTTCTTCAATTATCTTTTATATGAAAATGAAAAAAAAATGGGTGTCGGTAGCAATTTTGTATATGAAGAGCAGGGCCGTCGGGAAGGCAGCATTGCAAAGGGGGTGTAATTTTTCAAATTTGCCGACAAAGGGTGTGGTCATTGGGCGTTTGTGATTTCATTTCGTTCTCACTTTATTAGTCACACAATAACTCTATGTTCTGTGAACCATTCGTAGAGAGCGCTGACTAATTACCAGCAGAAATTGTCAAAAATTTACCAATTTGCCAAAAAAAATGCAGGTTTAAGGTTTCATTTGCCGACAGATGCTTTTTTCATGGGGGGGTATCACACCCCCCACACACCCCCATCATGACGGCCCTGATGAAGAGCTCCTTGATATTTCTTGGGGAATAATGACTGGCAGCAAAACAACATGACAACATCTTTCTTTTGCTCACAT